TTAATGATGAAAATGATGTTTGTATTTCTACACCAGAACAAGTACTAGATAATTCTAATGCAAAATATCGAAGATGAGGTGTATGCTCATAAAGATGAGTTAATTGATCAATACGGTAAGAAATACCTAAAACTGATAAATGTTCCAATGACAATGAAACATTTGTCGATAGTGGCATATGAAGTCCATGTTTAAAACTCATGTTTAAATAACAATAGGTCAATTTAGGTAAACTCCAAATACAATTCACAAACTGAAGAATATCATCTTGTTTACATCCAAAATAGCATGAAGTCAAATTTAAATGAATAAGTTGAGGACATTCGGATAAAATTTCACAAATTATCTCGCCTGAACGAATATGATCTAATGAAAGTGAAGAAAGATTTTGAAATTGATTCAATGTCCAACCATAGGAACGAAATAAATCAATTTGTTGAGGAATTTCATCATCATTCGAAAGACCAAGTGAAATAATTTTATCGATAATCAATAGAAGATTTTCTTGACAGACAATATCAAAATCTTGTTTTGATGCTGTTCGAAAATCGAAACGATGTGTTCGAAAATGAGTAAAGATTAGATTGTCAAAACGTTGATTGAGACGATGAAAAGTTTGAAGAAGTTCCACAGCATGAAAGTATTCAAATATATCAAGTAATAATTCGTTAGCCAACAATTCCAAATTCATCTTTTATTATTCTTTGATTTGTCATGAAACGATATGGTACAAGAACTTTATTTCACATACATCAAAAAAGAAAATAATAAATTACTGTAATTACATCAGTTTCTCTTTCTATGACGATTGTACGTGTCTTGACGACAGCAAACATGTATTTTATTTTATATGACTAAATAAACTTCTAATATACACATCACTTGATAGAGGGCACTGAATGATGTCTGTCTATAAGTCAAGAAGGAATTTTCATATTTCTACAAAGAAGATTTCGCGATTCGATATAACAATTGTGGCTCACGGATTGTCGGTGTGTCTTTGAGTTTAAAATAATTTTAGTCGACATTGGATTGAACAGTAGAGATCATAGTCTCGCTACATCATGTTGGAATCGTTGCGCTTTGCGATGAATTAAGAAAAGTAGGATGGGTGTGGGTAACAAAAGAATTCCAACACCTACAGCCATACCCACTTCTACTCCCACAGCTACCCCCACTCCATACCCATCCCCTCGAGTCTTTAAATCATAATGATCTTTTACGATTATATTGTAGACATTTGGTTTGAGATGGACTCATAGATAGAAGTTCAATGATGTAAAGTGTCATGATCGAGAGGCCCATGATGTTGGTTCACATTTTCTGACTCACCTGCCATAGAAGATTGTGTTCAGCCATACACGAATCGATTTAAAGAAATGGGCTAATGCTCTATCTTGCTGAAAAATGACAGAGTTACCCAACCGTTTCTTCTGTAAAATCAGACAAAAAGAATTCCAAAGCATTGAGAAATAATTCTCTTGAGTTAGTGTTTCATCATTGATAGTAGGTCGAAAGAAATGAACCAATATACATTGGGCTCCTCGATCATGATACTTTACACAATTAAATTTCTATCTATGAGTCCATCTCAAACCAAACGTCTACAATATAATCATAAAAGATCTCTATGATTTGAAGACTCAAATAACTATAGAACTCGATATAATAAAAATAAAATGCTTCAGGTTTTTTTTTAATTATAAAACATGTCAATTTTTTGTATTGAAGTGAAAGGTATTATTTTTGAAGAATATTTATGAACTTTGTCTTTATGGAAAAAGAAACTTACTACTCTTCTCTTTCGAATTAAAAAACTATTAGACTAAGTTCGGTTAATAAGGAAGTTATTCGTAATTCTTAAGTGAACATGACTTTTGAGATATCCTGTAAGTGTTTTATGAAATTTAAAATGCGGTGGCCAGAACTTTTGGTATGCCCTAAGTAGCAAAGATTAGCATCTAGTCTTGCTTCATTAATATCGACATAACGAAAATAAAATCCATACATTATTTATAATATTCAGCTTTTACTTTAGGTGAATGAAACATGATACCGAAAGTTGGATAAAATTTGTATCACATAGAGACCTCAACGTCTGAAATGATATTTTAATAAGCATCAGACGATGTTGCGTATTCGAGATCATCGCGTCACCAAATATGAACTTTAGATTTGAAATTCAACAAAGAAAATATAAAAAATCTGAGCGATTTAAAGTGCTTCGCCCCTTACAAACATTCTTTCATCTCCTCTCTCCGTTGCTGAAAACTACAGGTCATTAGACGCAGCTGGCGTCGAGTTATTTGGACTACATCCACTCCTTTTTAATTGTAGTGCGAACGTTAGTACTGAATAATATATGCTAAAAATTCAACATTATTCAGCTATCTCTTGAAAGAACATGGCTACTGATGATGATAAAGCTATTCTATTATTCAATTAAGCTTTCTCTTATTTACAGACTTCATCTGTCATCTGAACACCTAGAATAGAAAATTAATATGCTTTTTTTTCACCCATAAACATATGCGTTTCTTCTCCTATTAATAATATTGTGTTATGATATATATCTTATATAAGATGGGAAAATTAGTTTCCGTCTATAGTTCATATTGATGTAAGTTTAGTTCGGATAGTTGAACTATAACTTTTCAAAGTGAAGTTATCATTTTCCTTTTAAAATGCGAATCCATTTTGATAATATTCGAACAATAACATGTTATTTTATTTTTCTCAATAGATAAATCTATAGTGGAAGATCTATCACTTATAATTTGCAAAAAAATATGTCGAATACAACAATGATATCAACAGCATCAATAGCTCTTAATTTTATTTCACTCATTGGAACTATTCTTATTGGTCTAATGTCTGCATTCATGCTTAGTATGCTCTTGCGATCAATTAGACATAAGCATAATGCAGTTCTAGTTTTGATTGCTAATAATTATTTAGCATTATTAGCCTTTGCACTTGTAGCCGTACCAACCAATATTGATACAGTACAAGGTGATTATAATTTTTACATTGCTAAGGAAACATTGGGCTGTCGTATTAAAGCATATATGTTCTATTCATTCATAGCAATCATTTTTAATACCTTTACGTTACAGGTAAGATTTTTAATAAAGTTTGATTGTCTTTCAAAGTTTATTGAGTAGAGATTTTATCATTTATTTTTAGAAGAAGGTTAAATTTCAAATCCTATTACATGTTTTCAATGTGTTTTAATATAGCAAAGTTATTTTTACTCCAGAAAGATTCTTTTTACATAGATAATCTTTTAATACACATATGTGCAAATATTTGATAGATTTTCTTCATCTATTTTCAATCATCTATATATCATTTTCATGATGAAAAATTTGTACTGATGAATATTAAAACATCCATAATCATTCGAATCCGAAAATAATACATGTTGTCTATCGTATATATCTCTTATTATTACTCCGTCATTTTTTTACTGTTACTTATGATGAAAGTATAAAACAACATTATGGTTAACTCTAGAAAAGTTGAAAAAAAAATACATCCTAGTGAAAAATGATCGAAGAATACTTTAGAAGATTCTGACTATCAAGACATATTCTTTATCGTATGATATAATACTAACATTCTAATAGAGATTATATACAATTCAATAGAAAGTGTTTTTCACGAAATTCACATACTGTAATTTTTGCTTTATCTTTAGGGTGACAGTGGTCATCTGTCATTTTAATCAATCGATTATTCAAATTTGTAGGAATTTTTATTGAGCATCCATTAAGTGTACATTTCCAATATTTTGTAATTGCTGTTTTTTTTTTATTCAATATGAAAACCTAATCATTTGGTAAGAGCAAAGACTTTCCTTTTTTTCGTGAATTAATAAATGAAACATCGCGCAATGATGATTGATCTTCATGTATTGAAAATGTAGCAGCTGCACTCATGATGATAGACTTAGTTATATAGTAATTATGTTTCTGACTAGTTTAGTCAATCTCTATGAGATATTATTCATCATGTTCACTATCAGTTATAGATATAAATCGACATAACCATGAAAAAAGCAGTAATAAACTATACACGATTAAAGTCAGCGTTTTTTCAGAAACATAACTTTCTTTTTGATGTTTTCTAGTTTCGACATTATTCTCTTCAATCTTTCTACAGCATACCATCATTTTAATTGGCCTTTGTTAAAGAAATATTAATGAATATTGTAAAACACAAGATCTACTATTTCTTTTATATTGAGCAGAATGTTGATTAATTAATAGATTTTTCAATACTACTTATCATCATAAATGAGTATAATGATGCACATAAACATTCCATGGTGAAATCCAAGATGTATAAGTACTGAGTGATTATCTATTATAATATTGTTTCATATTTCTCATTAGAAAAATTTTTTTTTTTCATTAAAATACAAAGATCCATGGTTTAATTAGAGATTAGAAGAAGATAAGCTACTATTTCATTTTAGAAAGTTCTATAGAACACTCATATTAAAAACATACCTTGTATAATAATTCAAATTCTATAATTAGATTTGATAGGCATTGTAAATTTAAAATACATATGTTAATTTATAGGCTGCCTTTCGTTTCGTTCGTGTGGTCTATCCTTCCCATATATGGTTACAATATGGTGTTACTTACGCTGTGATTATTCCAATTTTGTGGATTATTTCATTTCTTTTTCTTTTACCAGTTCATTTTTGGCATGATCTACAACTTATACCTACAGAAAATATTTGCCTACTAACTATTGATGGTGTTCGTGGATTTATTTGGTGTACTTTAGTTATTTATGGTCTACCAGTGATTATGACCTGCATTATTTATATACAACTGCTCCGATTTATACGTCGATCATCTACGCCTACTTCAATACGAGCTAAACGTGATGTGATTGTAGTATCTCGTATTGTAATAATTGTAGTTATTTTAATACTGATTGATGCTCCTTCTATTGTGTTGAAATTAATATTACCTTGTACTGGTATCGGAAAATCACTTTTTTATCGTATTTCGAATACGACTATAGTCATTGCTATGACTGCTCTTAGCATTATGCTCGTCTATGTCACTCCTCAAGTGACAGAAGTACTCGTATGCATTGGGAAAGCAAGTAAAGTAACTGGTATACATACACGACAACAATGTATGTTAGCTACCACAAAAATCAAGCATTGACACTACAAACAACAAACAATAATTTCGATAAATATTTTTTATTATATTGTTTGAAGCCACACTAGACGTTCGATGAAACAGAAATGACAATGACATTATAATACTTAATTATTTGTTTTTTTTCACTAATTATTCACTTCATATATTTATGTTATATAATATTATTTCAACATATTTTATTTAAATGTTGTATTAGTTTTTAGGCTCTATATGAGAGAATACATTAATTAGTAAAAAGAAAACTTAAATATAAAAAAATGATTTTGATTGTTGAATATAGTCGTTTTATATCGAGTTTAGAGGTTTTTTCATTTTTACACTTTCTTTAAGAATTAAAATACTAATACAAATTTATTTTTTTAGATCAGTAATGCAACTAAACATTAAATGAAAGATAAATTGAACCTAATTTTGTAATTATATTTGTTGACTCTTAAAAGACAAGTAAAAATGTCACCTCTAATCTCGATTCATTTTTACATAAAATTAGATAAGTATCAAGAATAAAGAAAATGATTAAATAGAAAAAAAAATTAGCTTCCCATTAAATGTGAATCAATAATAAGAATAATAAGATATAAGATTAATAAAAATAAAAATTCATTTTCAAATTTATGAATAATTTTAATGTGCCGAGCAACTTTGAAATAATGCATCTTTAACATTTGATGAAAGATGATTAAATTTTTCTTGATTTGTTTGTTCAACATAGACAATGAAATAAAGTGAATCATTATAAATATATGGATTTGATTCTTTATAAAGTAGATTTTTATCAATAAAATCATCAAATCCAATGCAATCATTAACATTATTCATTTTTGCCGAACAACATTTTATAATATGTTGTAACGGATTATTAGTACTTTGATCAACCAAAATGAACTTAACGTAACCCGTAAAAGTATTACAGACTGGAAAATTCAGATGAACATGAAATGATATAAAGTTAGGGTTCATTTTTCCATTGAGATAAATACGAGCCCATAATCGATGACCATTCCTCGATGTTTGAAATAGATGTGAATTAATAAATAGTTGTTTCTTACAAATAGCATCGTCAATTTTTTTGAATATTTCATCAACACGCCAGATGAGAATACCATCTGTTGAAACAGGTGTATTTTCTAATTGAATTTGAAGTATGTTATTTAAATCCATATAAAATTGTATATTCTAAAATGGATACATTTTTTTTTTCATAGAATAGATTTATTTCATTAGTGTTTACGTTATTTTCATTGATAAGTGATGAATCTTGGTGTTGTTCATTTTGTTCTGTATGATGATTTATTTCGTTGATATTAGATGATGAATCGATTTGACTTAAAATTTGATTCATTTGCATATCATTTATTTGATTTAGTTGTTGATGTGATCGTAAGTCAAAAGTACAATTTAAACTTCTATCCATATCTATGATCAAGTCTCTTGTTGGAGATGAAATCGAACGAGATACTACACAAATAAATAGTTCGAAGAAGAAGAAAAAGAAATCTTTACAAAAATGTTACTTTGATTTATATTTGGTAAAGTATTTGAAACAATATCTGTTGTATTTGATGATTGAAGAGTTTCAATTACAACAGTATTTAGTCGTTCAATGAATTGTGAATAATTATTTATCTGATTATGCCTTGAAGATAAAAGCCCATCAATTTCTTTTGGGTTAATTGTAAGATCAATTAGAGCAGATTCATAATTAATTTGTTTTGCACAAATAAATTTAATAATACTTTTTAAATGTACTTCACTTAAATAATGTTGAGATAATTGATTTCGTGGAAACTAAAAATAAATATTTAACAGAGAAAATAGAAGAATTTAATGAACATACTGAATCAGTACAACCATAATCATGAAGTGGACATTGAAGAACATTAGTTGAGTTTATGTCATTAATTCGATGATGAGCCATCTTTCACCTGAAATTACTATTCAAAATTGTTTCTAACAATTTGACATTTACGCAGAAGAAGATCAAACATTGTAATAAAAGTCAAAGTTGTAACAATTTCAATTTATAACGAAACATTTTTTTAAAAATTTAAATTATGAGATCTTGATCAGAACTCTTTTTGTCTATAAACAGAAACTATATATTAACTTTTCTTCAATAATCAATATTATTATAGAAAAGAACTGATCGTCCAAAACGAGATGTTTGGATTATTACTTAAGAGATCTGACCTATTTATGGATAAAATTCAGATTTAGTTTCACTGAGATCTACATCCATTTCGAAATAAATTTCTTGCCAGAAATTTGTACGACAATTCGTCATTAAGTGAGACAATCGAGAAGAATCATGAGTCATTTTCAACTAGGATATCACAAAATAATAAGATCAGAACGAACTAAAATGGTAACATGGGAACAGGACTATTAAATTATGTTCTGATTTTCGGTTGGAATAACTTTTTTCTTGTAGTCTCGGTCATGTACAATTCTGGGTACGATACATCAGGGTGACATAGATGAATCTAGCTATGCAGAAATACCACAGAGTCTAAAGAGAGTAAGTTATAGAATGGAGTACTGCAGGAAAAAAGGCATTAAAAACCACAAGACTCTGGGATTATAACATAGAACAGAGACAGATTTTATTATATGTGATTTCAATGCGACAGGTAAGGTATTACAGAGTGATAAGCGAGGGTAAATAATACATTTTATGATGACACAGCGGGGCAAATCAAGATAGCACGCAATAACAAAAATAAAACAGAGCAGTCACAAATTCAAGGCGGAAGATAAAAGGCAACACTGTATATAACTAGGTAAAAAAGACACAATACATGCTGAGATGTCTAATTTAGATGTTGTCCTTGAAAATTCTTCAGTATGATTTTGAAGAAAAATAATTTAATTCATTTAAATTTCTTCTATGTTTAAAAAAGTGTTTACCTTTTTTTAATGTGAGTGTAACACACCGAGAAGTTGTGAATGTATGCGTGCTTTGAATAACTTCTTTCTGTTTATGTTTATAAAAATAATCTAAAAATATACATCAAGTTAATATTGACTTTGAACATACTTGAACGATCAATTATCGATCAAGCAGAAATAACAACAACAATGAAAGAAAAAAAAACACAGTAACAAAAAAATAGAAATAATAATATATTAGCTTTTGTTTTTTCCATCGTTCAAGTACTCAACTTTGTTGATCAATGCTTTCGAACATATGTCGTCGATTGTTTAAATTTTCTCGAATAATAATATGAAGACGATATGCATAACGATATCGAGTTTGAGCTAAATCTTTCTGATTTTCATTATCATAATAATTTCCAATATCTACAATACAAGTCGATAAATCCCAAAGAATTAAATGAGTTAGAGTATTAATATGTTGTAATACAGAAACAACATTTGGATATCTTTCACTCCATACACAATATTCATTTAGAGATTTATTTGGACAATAGATATATATGTTTCGTACATGAGAATGAATTAATATAGGTAGATATTCAATATTTGTCAGATCACAGATAACAATGAAATGTGGATCTTCATGATTATTACAAATATTTTGTAAACAATTTTCTATAGAAGAACAATATTTGATTGTTCCGAGAACCGACTGAAGATGATTGAAAAGTTCATTGCGTGCACTATCGATAACATATAAACATGGCCAAATACCTTAAAAATTACAGAAAATAAAGAACGATAAAGGACATTGCTGGATAAGATCGTAAATCTGTCACTCCCTCCACCCTCCCCCATAGATTTTACTATTAATAGAATAGAAAAATAGAGCACGCAATTCTGCACACATCTGTCGATTTATTTTGTTTTTTTTTGCAGAATGCAATAAAAAACTTTTGTAGACTAAATAGTCATGAAGAGATGTATCATGTTTGGACGTTTTGAATTATAACCATGATATCCATACCATAGTTATAATTTGAAACGTCCAAATATGACACACCCCCTCATGACTATTTAGTCTACGAAAGTTTTTTATTGCATTCTGCAAAAAAAGCAAAATAAATGAATAGAAATGTACAGAATTACATGTTTTATTTTTCTATCTTATTAGAAGTGAGATCTATGGGAGAGGGCTGACAGATTTATGATTTTATTCGGTGATGTCCTTTTTGCAAGAATTTTTATCTTTACCAGTATCTGAAAATTCCATTTGTTGTTTATATTGCATAAATGGAGTAACAGTTTGACTAGATTCTACACTATTATTTATTTCTATTTCATTTATCGACGAACGATTTTCTTCGTTACTAAATGGAATATCAGCTGATGTTGTTGATATTTGAATATTCTCGTTCGGTTGATAATTATCATATATATTATTTTTAAAATTAATAATTTCATCGAATTGATAAGGTAATGAAGATTTTTTTGATAAGAAATTTATCAAATTGTCGATTATTATTTGATTGAATTCAAATTTCTGTTTATTCAGATTTACACAAAGATCTTTGATATTATCAAAAACACCTTTGATTTTCTCATAATTTTTAGCCCAATATTCATGATTAGTTTTCCTTCCACAAAAAATATAAATTGAATTAATCTGTGATAATTGATAAATAATTGGAACAAAATCTTTACCTAATGAACCGGATACAATTAAAAATAATTTATTTTTAGTTGTTTTAAATTTATCAATAAACTTCAAACATTCTTCTTTATTTGTAAAAATAATAATTGAATTCATAATAAGACGAAGTTGATTAATTGAATATTGATCATCTTGATCATCATTATGAATACATTTATCTAACCATATTAATATATCATCATTATCATGTATTGTTGAAATTATTTCAGGATTTTTGAATTTATCAAGATTGACGTTCTTCAATAAATTTGAATCAACACGGATGTCGTCATTCATACGCCATTGTTTCAAAGGCATTGCTGTTATTCTTTCACTTTGAATATTTACACTGTAAATTTTGTTAAATCAATGATCGTATGTTGACGACTACCTACCTGAAATTACGCAGAACATTTTCTTTTTTTCTATTTTTTGGCCACAGGAAAGCTTTACTCATTGGTTGTTGCAGATATATTCTCGTGCACAGCAAGAGATGTTTCATGCTTTTTATTTGATTCTTATGAAAGAAAAAAAAAACGAAACAGAATACTAAAGTATTATATATTGTATAAAATGCGTGGATAATCATAATGACTAAACTTTCATGTAATAAAGTTAGTCAATATAAAAAAAACAATTCGATACAAAAATAACAAAACTTAAAGAAATATTAGATTTCCAATGATGTTTTTATTTGAAAGAATAAAATAATATACTAAATAAATATTTGTGTCAAAGATATAATTCAACATTGAATGAGGGGCGATCCGTAGGCAACTTTCAAAAGTAGAAGAGAAGTGTTTACAGAGGTGAAATGATTCAAGCAATTCATACTATGTAAAATTATGCTGTGTGTATAACCTAAAGCAAAGTTCTGCAGCGTCCTTGAATAAGTAGAAATATGTATGAATTGCTATTAACTGTTATTATAATCTTTTTTCATAATAATATTTTTTATAAGAAAACGTCTTGTTATGATAAAAAATTATTCTTCGTATAAATATCGAATATATTATTTCAATTTTGACGTCATCATTGAATTCTA